GTGCTTGGGGTTTCTGCGCTGCCGCTTTGTGACGCTCGTACCATCACTTTTGTCGCTAGAAGCTAACCACAATTGTGTTAAGAGAAGTTAAGTATTTATCATCGAGGGTAACAAACCTGCCACAGCATCGTCATCTGTCAGCACCAAACGTCTTTCTCCCAGCTCAGATACCTCTTTGTCATAAACTGTTCGGGCTACATTTTCACGATGACGAAGGCCAGCGTTACGAAGTTTATCGTCTCTCTTCCGCTTTGCCGCATTCGATGTTTTGGTCGCAAGATGATCCTTCTGCTACTCTACCATTTCAGTGAGCTTCTCTCGGATACGAATCTACAACCAAGAGCGTCGTTAGCTTTATAACTAAATTTGTTGTAACCAGTATATGTACCTCGATTGCCGACCGTTCATGTTCTTGACCGGTCTCAGCGTCAAGCTCTCTTTCACGGAGCACGTGCTCCTTCAGCATACTTTCGACCCAGCTTTGAATCGTCCGGTGGTTTGCCGTATAGCCCCATGACGTTCTAAGGTGCTCTGCAGCCTCAGCGACACGCGTTCCTAACTGTCCATAGGGGGCTACATGCGCCTCTGTGTAGGAGTATCTTTCGAGCACGGCTTCCTGTGCTTTGAAGTTCGTTACCCAGTTCTGGATTGATTGAGGTTTGCGTGATTGGTTTGCACGTTGCTGGGCGTTAAGAGTAACCGAAGCAGCAGGCCGTTCCTCATAAAGTTGATGCCCTGGACCGGGATGCAAGTCTTGTACAGGATCGTTAAGCAGGTCTTGGAAGGCACGTCTTCGACGGCCATCAAGTTGAGTTGACGCTGTAGATCCTCGAACTAACGCATTATTAAAAGCAGTAGGGGCTCCTGCTATGGCAGAAACACTGTGTACTTGCAGATTATCTTGGTCATCGCCTGCGACTTGATCCGTCGACCTCACGCCTTCGCCGAAGATACGCTGTGTAGGCAACCTACGGATACTTGGGGTGTTAAGGGAAGCTGGGACCATCGCCTGAGCATCACCAACAGCAATGGCGTCGCTGTGGTCTTTGCTGTCCTCCTCTGAAGACGACCAGTTGCGCCCAAGTAAAGCAACCACGCTATCCTTCGCTTCCGACATCGTGTTAGCCTTGAACAAAAAATGTGGATTGAGGCGCTAGCGGTAGGAATGATGGTCGATTGGTTGAAGTGGGAGTGAAGGTCTTAGGTAATTAGGTGACTGCAAAGTGCTCCAAATTGTATACAGCGGAAAGGACGGTTTGACTGCAACAAACACGAGGTTTGCGGCAACGAACTGATCTTTGGCCGACCAGTAGGTTCGCAGTACATTTTATGTTGCGCTTTTGGCTGCAAAGTGCAAAGTGCAAAGTTCTCTTAACTGCCCCACTCCAAGCGGATCTCCGTGGCCCGTGGATTATTGACTTGATGAGTCGGTCACTGTCGCAGTACCTCAGCTTCGTACTGTAGCTTAATGGGCTTTAGCGAATAGGTCCACCCCTTGAAGAAACAATAATGAATCTACGTTAGACAAAAATGCGCAGGTGGAGAAGCAACACTCAATGCAGCTAGAACCCTATCGAGGTAATCATCACGGTGGTAAACGACCTCCATCCAAACAAAATCGTGATTCGGAGCAGCGGAAAAAGCAGCAGCTTAAAGACAAGGGCAAGACGTTGAAGGCCCGAAAGAACCATGGTTGGAAGTCGTGGACTCGGAGCAACAAGTTTGGTAGCAGGAACAAGTACGAGGAAACGATAAGACCCGTGAAGAGGATAACGGTTATGGCTGCCATCAACCGGGCCATCTAAAGATGAATTGCTCAGAACGAGAGGGTATTAGCGCAAATGCTAGTCATGTAAAGTCACTGTTTATAGTTACCTTAGGCGTTTCGGCTGGTAGAGCTGAGAAGGAGCTTGCGGCAACACATGCTGACGCCGCGGCGAATAGAAGACGTAATCAATCGAAATCTTTCGATAACGCCTCCTACATCCACGCGGAGATTGACTGCTCCAACGCCGGCAGGTAGACGACTCGCTAAAGTCGCGTACGATGTGTTTCCGCTTTTCGCTACCGGAGACCTCGCGGAACTGACAAAATACCGCCTGTCCCTAACGAGGTGTCAATTGACAGTGCAGTCAAAATTCCAGCATTCTGGTTGGTACATTCTACCTACTTGATCATCTTCAGCTGAAACATTGCGACAGCATCCTCGTCGTTACTACAGGCTCGAAGCGCACGAACAAGGATTCAATGTCCTACAATAATGCCAAAATACGCTATTGGTTACTCAAGAAGGGTACTGTAGCTTTGCAAGCCGACATGCACCGCTGCGGACTGTGGAATTTTTACGGTATAATAAGTTCATGTCAGACAAAGGACTACTTAAGGCATGTCATAGCGCACGTGGTTTCCTGATAACCAGGCTGCTTTGTTTCGACGACTAATTGCTTCTCGTATTGTCCATTCACTCTCCCATCGAGATGTTTTATGAATTATTAATTGGATGCGCCAGCAATATCCTTACACGACTGTGGTTAGACGAAATAGAAAAACGTCCCTCATTACCGTAGACGCTACTTCTAGTGATCGGTTGATGACCCGTTATTACCCCCATGCGACATAAAATTTCATCGCTGATAACGTCATTGCTGCGCGGCTCCTATGGTTGGTCCAGGTATGGATATGGTCCGCATAATTCAGGCTCGGTCCAGCTGTTGACGGCCATGTCCTTTAGGATATCAGAGCTTATCCTGCCACCAGCAATCCCAGCGATTCCACCGGCAGCCTCAAACAGAGGGTCGTAGAACAAGACGCCACCATTATCTTCTTCACTATTGCTCTCGTCTTTACTGTCTCTAACCGCAACACCACCGGTCATTGAGTCCACTCCTGCAACACCTGTATCATCGTAGGCATCAACGGAAGCTCCATCATCGTCAGGCGCCGTCGCAGTGAAGTCGAGGAGGAGAGGTCGATCGTGACCGATCGCTTTTACACGTCACCGGCGCTAGTGATGCAGCTTCTACACCTTTGCCAGTCCAAATCGGCGACAGTGGAAAGCAAAGCGGTGTGAAGTAACTTAAGTGACAAAGAAATTTTTAATTTTTATTTTCAAAAATTGACTTCAGAGCAATGGCGATTTAGTGCGGAGCTAACTGGTGGTCGGCATCAAAACCTCTTCTTCTGGCATCATGCCAACAGAACCAAAGCATGGCCTCGCGGCCCGGACACGCGTTCTCGACGCACACAAGGCTGGGCAGGACTGGGCCTTAGTAGCCGATTGCAACGGAATTCCAGCTACAACGGCTCGGACTATCGTCGAGCGAGGAACCCCGGACATCAAGAAGAGAGGCGGCGCGCGGGCGACATGCACTAGGTGCACGCCGGAGATGGAGGAGGCCCTCGTAGAATACCTGGAGGATAACTGCCAATACACGCTCGTGCAGATGCAGGAGATGCTGCACTTCGACTTTGGACAACGCTCCTGCTCATAGCCAGACTGAGGATCTGATTACTGAGCAGGAGGACTTGGAGCTGTTGCGGTTGGCGCCATACTCCCCCATGTGTAACCCGATTGAGGGTACGTTTTACAGACAATTATAGCGTGCACATGTACTAACATTTGTGTCTATTTTACTGTGCGGCAGGGTGTTTTAGTGTATTAAAAGCACGCATTAAGGCTTATCTTGCCTTAAGTCATGACGTAATGTTTCTTGCTCCACACGGAGAGAAAACAGAGCGCCGGATGCAGCTGCTTGAAAACGCTGCAGAGCATAGCTTGCCATGTATGGATCTGCGCTTGGTTAACAAGATGGCGCGCCACTGTGCGTTGTCAGTGGCGGCAGCTATTCGTAGCGAACCTATGGAGTACGGCACGTAAAGTTTTGCACTACACTAAATCAACTTTGCATGACAGGCTTTTTCTAAAAAAAATAAATTCAAAAATTAAAAAAAATTAATTACGGGACGCTCCACTTTGCTTTACACTGTCGCCGATTTGGACTGGCAAAGGTGTAGTGCTCGGTTTTTATTGATGACACATTGGAAATGTTTCTTTAATGAAATTGTGAAGAAGACAAAGAAACAATCCACAGATGTGGAGAAAGGAGCTTATACTCCGGCGGAGGCTACAGTAGTACCGGACATGAAATGGTATGCGGGTGCAATAACCGTCTTAATCATTTGTTAGGTACTGGAGGCAGCATTGTCGAAGACCGCGTCGCCAGGGGACAGAAGTCGGGTGAGAAGGTAGAGGTCGCATGCGCAAGAATCCTAAAGGAATATCAGTTGATCATGGACGAAGTTGATGTTCATGATCAGCCCCGCCTTTGGAGGCAAGTACCGTTATCTTGTATGAGCAGAATATATTGAAGATTAACCTGCATTGTTCGTGTTACGTAGGTATTCACTTCAGCTCGCTTTAAAGTACAATAAATATACAATAGTATTTTTCCTTGTGCTGAATGTTCTAATTGTGCTCAACCAATGTCGCATAGTAGAATTGAAAAAAGCTTACCCATATCCAGTGAACTTTGAGAAGCATTTTTGGGACGCATTCTAGAATGATATTGCAAGAATACAGGCACGTCACGGTATTGAGAACAACTAAGCTAGTGTGTGTGGGAGTCCGATATTTTTGTTTTTTTGCGAGGTTTATTTTGCGTACAGCTTAGCTCTCGTGTACAGTTCGAACACTGTTTAGAAGTATAATACAAATATTAGTCAGTTTTGCGAATTCTGGGATTAGCTTTTTTACATTTTATTGAACGTGTTTTGAGAAATAAATGAATGCCTTATTATATGCGAAATGTAAACAGTTTCATACAAAAAAAAAATTTAAGTTTTGCGCACAAGTACTTGTAATTTGACCGAGCTACATTACTAAACTCGATCATCGCACAGCTGCACTCGAAAAACATCTCGTTTTAGCAAAACTAGAATATCGAATCGCTTTAGATTTGGCCAACGAGGCGCCGGCTACGACGATCTGCAGTGCGTTCAGGTTATGGGGTTGGATGTACAGAGCTATACACCTTCTTATAGGCATCGAGAATTGTATATCGAGGGTCTGCAGGAATGTCGATTGGCCTGGGTCCGGAGATTCGAACCATTAGCATTCTTGCGACGTCAGCAGGAGTTTTGCGCTCTGCGATCCACACCCTGTACTGAAAATTCTGCACCATCTCCGCCAGATTTTTAAGATCGGGGAGATGTGCAAGCGCTTGGAAGAGATCTGCAATTTTAGCCTCCGATAGCATGCCTTTCCTCTTCAGAATCTCGTAAATGAGATAATCAGAGAACTCCTCACTTCCCCTCGCCGCACGGTAATCATTCACGAATCGAAACCACTGGATTGTCTTCCTGCTCTCATCAATGTCTATTCCGAGTTTTGAAAGACGGAGACGGTTAAACACCTCCTCGGGGCTATTGTTATTATGAATCCACATCTGTCTCGTCAGCTTCATGTCAAGTTTGCGTATTCTCCAAAGCGCATCGTCCAGTTTCGCAAGTTTCGTAAATTCTATCGCTCTCTCGTCGTCTTCAGTAGAGAAGTTAGTGTTGATGTCACGCCCAGGTGATCCCCCATACGACCTTAAGTGCCGAGCCGTCTTCAACACAATGTCGTCATGTGGTAGCTTAACTTGCTCTTTGGTCATGATCTCGTCAACAGCTCCAGCCCCACCTGTAAGAGCCAAAAGAACCACCAGCACTATCCAGTACATCTGCACAGTACTATTGAGGTGATATCGTGGTGTTTTCAATTGTTCCTGGCTGTCAGGTGGATTTTTACGAAATGATGTGAAGGAAGACTGAACTTCCGTAGTCATGCTCCCTCCCCCCCCAGGAACCACTCACGGTAATTTTGCCCGGGCAACGTGTATCAATACCAGTTAATCTTGGAACTCGAATAGCCGGTTTTAAATCTGTTTCGCGTCAGCATGGTTGTCGTGACACGAAGAGCATTGATGACGTGCCACATCAAATGTTCTTTATTTAAAATGACTACTTAGACTGTGGGTTGAGTAGTGAGGACCTCGTTTGTTGCCTTAGAATGGTGGACCAAATTGGCCTGGCCAATAGGTCGGGCTTGGTCCCAAGTTGGAAGGGTGACCTCGACATCCATATAATATGCCTCTTGTTTGTTGGATTCATGCACCGCTGCATTGGCACACTGTGTGAATTGATTTTCTGGGTTCCATGCACATATTGTGACATTAATTGGGCTCCAGTGTCCGCTCTGCGTCGCGCGATCGAGTAATGTCGCCCATTCCGCGCACTATACAGCCTGCGGCCTGACCATACCGGTATCCAGGAAAAATACGCATTGGTTCCTACGATAGAAACTGTGGGAAGCTTGACTTGAACCAGCCCGCCAATTAAATCGTGCAAGAGAGACTAGAGGTCCACACAAGAAGAAGCACTGGTATAGGCAACATCATTTATTTATTACTATGGATAAACAACTAAGAGTGGCACGATTGGTGAGCAAAATATATTTTTACATATATTTTGCTGTGATATCTGTGAATATGAAGTTGTATGTGCATTTCATTTACTCTTAGCTAATGAATTATTCAATACTGTATCATTACAGTAACGTATTGATAAGTCCAAGGAGCCGCCTCTTAGATGGCTTTCGTTTGGTAAATTTAAAGTTGATTTTGGATTGAAGTTCAATTGGTATTTCTGGGCGAGAAAGACAATCAATTCCATTCCACCAGCTCATAATTTAAAGGTATCGCGATTTGGATAGATACTTCTCAAGGTAAACAAGACCAAGCACCCTGAAGCAATCGCGGTGATAAACTAAACGAAACCGTTTACACGACCAGTTTTATCCGTTACAGGTTCAACCTTCTACTTTATTTACCGACCCGGCGATGCCGGTGGCGAGGAGTCAGCGATCGATGCAGTAGTATGTACAGTACCTCATCGTCAGTTAAGCGCCTTGAACTGGTGACTTCACCCCGAAAGCCATTGGCAACGACTATCAGACAATAATCAGTATGAACGCATGCCGATGCGTGAGCTTTAGACATCCAAGTTGTCGTGACACACAGCTATTCAGTCTATTCCCATTCAGGAACGCACACCGCCTCTCGAAGACCTGGTACAATACCGGTATTAATATATTTTTGTTCATTTGAATTCGGTAATGAAGATTGCGAACTGGTTCGACGGTCCTGTGCACATTTCTAGAATCACGCTGCTATTAAGGATTACTCTTTAAGATTTAAGACTCGGCAGCGTTCCTCTTCTTTTCGAGTGTTGTCTGGTTCAAACAGCTAAGTCAAGACGACCACAATTTTGGTAGATGCTGCCTCGGTTTGCTTTCTGATGATACGACGTATCACAACCTTTTAAAATGGCGGAAGATTGAGAATCATATTTCTCGATCTTCCCAAGAATCGCTCTTTCGCTTCCTCTCTATTCATCTGTACGTGTATAGTACAGTACTTGGATCGAGATATCCCGTCATTCTCTATTCCCAGATATAAATAAAGCTGACGTGACGAGAATTCATGATCGAGACATTGGTGTTCAGTGTGCGTTTCCCACCACCGACTCTCATGGTCCCTACACTATTGACTTCTTTAACATTGTCCTCCTGTCACTGCTCCGCTTATTTCAGCTCCAGCGCTGTCGCCATTGACGCTCACGATGATTCACCCAAATGACAGCGGGGTGAAGCGTTGCCTGCGGACTTAACAAAGCTAGGGGAAACCTCTACATGTACATTTATTTTTGGTGACACAATAGCAGAGAAGTGGTCTTGAGAAATAATAGCTGATGAAGACAGCTAAGTCCTGTATAATTCCTATCATCTCAGCGGGGCCTAACGCAGCTGAATACCACTACGCGAAAAAGGATCGTAGACATTTGGTTAGCCCAATCTCGTCCCGCCAAGAAGTTGGGGCTGTCGAGTTCCACAAATACTCTTCTCAAGAGAGAAACCGAGCGCTATTCTCTATTTCAGGATTAATGATAAACGAGGTTTATGAACAATTAAGGCTCTTAGAACGCCACTTGTTACAATTCCCGGCCCCTTCCCCCTTTAAATGGGATATGACGACAGGACGTGGTACTACGCGGTGGCCGTGGGGCGCCGCGTCGGCATCTTCACCGACTACCAAGACGCTGTAGACCAAGTTTCACGGCTACCCAAACTTCCGGATGAAAAAATTCCAATGCTACGACGAGGCTCAGGACTTCATCGACTATTTCAACGAGGACTGCGAGTCCGTGGAAGACGAGCAAAATCCGGTATGGTACTACGCAGTCGTCGTTGGTCGTTGCACTGGGATATATACAGACGTCGATCAAGCGCTGGCTGAGACCCATGGATACTCCAACGCCAAGATGACAAAGTTCCTCACCTTCGATGCAGCACATAATTTCCTCGGGAAGTGGGAGCTGGTTGTCCAGGATGGCCACGAATACAGCGACGGATCTCGATTCTGGCTCGCTTTCGACGTTAACGGACGGTATCCGGACTGTCAGGACCCCAAACATCCGGACTCGATGGTGGCGTTCTGTGACGGGAGCGCTCTACGAAATGGTCAACGTGACTGCGATGCGGCATACGCTCGTGTCTTTCCCCATGACCAAGCATCGAACGTTGTTAGAACGCTCAATGGCCCGTGGGCGACAAATAACCGCGCTGAGTACATGGCTGCACTTGCAGCGTTGCAGTGGGCGCGCGATGAAGATCCGTACGAAGACAAAGTGCTGTAGACAGCAGCATGCTGATAAATTCCATGACGAATTGGATCTACAAGTGGCAAAACAATGGGTGGACCACTCAAAACGGCACGGAAGTCAAGAACCGCGATATCTTGGGGCAGCTGCTGGACGAACAAGGCAATCGTGAAGTCATTTGGCGCCACGTGCGAGCTCACACCGGGAATAAAGACTGGGAATCGTATTGGAATGATATTGCGGACACGAAAGCGCGCCAAGCTGCGGAGAAGCTGGCCAATGGCTACTACTGAAATTGCAGCTCTACTTCAAAGTAAATATTACTTTTTCAGTGTAATTTCTTATCCAGTACTTAAGCAAATCAGTAAATAAAGGTTATTTGTCACTTTTTCTTGTAAATTTTATGAAGAAAAATGAGCTGATTTTGTAATTTAAAGCTGCTAGCAGAGCGCCAGCTCATTGGGTAAAAGTATGGGCTCATATCCTGATTAGAGGCAATCTGTATTGGGAGAAACAACAAGTGTTACGCTCCTGTGTAGGCGCCGTTGGCTGCTGTTGACTCGATGGGCTGGTATGAGTATGACTCAGACAACGGCTACGAGTATTTTGAGCCCTCCGAGTACTATGCGGTGGCTATAGGGCGTAATCCTGGCATCTACACGACACAAGATGAAGCCGTCGAGCAAATTTCTGCGTTTCCTGGCTATCGGATGAGGAAATTCGAGGACTACGAGGACGCACGCGACTATTTAATAGACTTTGAGGTTTTCTGCGATAGTGAGACTGAGGGCAGCGACCAAGAGGACGAAGACGAACTTGAGTCAGACGAGTGGTTCTATGCTGTAGCAGTGGGGAGATCGACCGGAGTTTTTCTAAACTTGGACGATGCAGAGAGCCAAATTTTAGGATATCCAAGAGCACGTATGAACCAGTTTCTTGACTATGAAGACGCAGAGCGATTCGTTGAAAATTATCACGTTTTTACTATCGAGGAAGAGGAAAAAACTGAAAAGCCAGAAAATAAACGCAAAAGCTGGTTTTATGCCGTGGCGGTAGGACGTTCGACGGGAATCTTTATGAGTTCATTAGAGGCGTTGGAGCACGTGCACGGGTTCCCTGGCTTCAAGATGAAAAAGTTCCGGGAGTATGAAGAAGCAGAGGAATATCTTGCGTTCAATCAAGTGTATTCCAGTGACGAAGAATACGAGACTGAGAGTGAAGAGGAGACGTGGTATTATGCTGTGGCGATTGGACGGTATACGGGTATCTACATGGATTGGGAGGTGGCGAAATTGCAAGTACATGGCTTTTCTGGCAGCCGAATGAAGAAGTTTCTAGACCATGACGAAGCGTTGAAGTATCTTAGTGAGAACCGACAGAATTTTGGTGAAGAGGAGGAAGAAAAGAGTGAAGAAGAAGAGGAAGAGACATGGTACTACGCGGTTGCAGTTGGTCGACGGGTTGGCATCTATACAGACCATCAAAGCGCAATCGACCAAGTTCATGGCTACTCAAACTTCCGGATGAGAAAGTTCTTGGACTACGGTAATGCCCTGGAGTATTTGGCGAGTTTTAGCGAGGAAGAAGAGGACAGTGAAGAAGAGAGCGAACCAGAGCCAGAGGAAGACGAATGGTACTATGCTGTAGCAGCTGGACGCTCTCCGGGCATTTACAAGAACCATGAGGACGCTATGGAGCAAGTCCATTGCTACTCGGGCTTCCGCATGAAGAAATTTCAAGACTATGACCAAGCTCAGGAGTATATCGACTTCAACCAAGTGTATTCCAGCAGTGAAGACTGCGTAAGTGACGAGGAGACGGATGGAGGCGAAGAAACATGGTACTATGCAGTGGCAGTTGGACGCTCGACTGGCGTATACACGAACTGGCAAACAGCGAGAAATCAAGTGCATGGCTACTCAGGTAATCGGATGAAAAAGTTCCTTGAATACGATCAAGCGGTGGATTACATCGACGTCTATCATCGCTGGGGGTAAAGATGATCAGAGGTCATAGCTACGAGCTGTCAAATACGGGAAGTAGTAGTATTATAACCAAGAACCCCATCGTAACGGTCTCTACAGAAGCAAAGGTGGCAGCATTTACGGACGTAGCAACTCCTGTCTATTGAGTGTACGTTGCCGTGGGTTATATGGACCAAGGCTTTGCAACGCGAGCTTAGCAAATTGGCAACTGTTTTTTTTTACTAACCGGCCCGAAACTTGATGTTGATACCTCGTGAGCTTGTTCAGGTTGAATATAAATGTAGTGAAAACTTGGTGATGATAGTTCAAATAATGGAAGTCTTTTTTGGAAAGCCATTAGAGAGTCATTACAGCTGAAATTACCACTAATTTAGCAGTGCCTCCGTCTCGCTGCCTGTCTTTGCTGCTCATTCTCGCTAAAGCCATTTATAAGAAACAGAGAAATGAGTTCGGCGGCCGGTGACTTGAAACATCTCAATAGAACTTTTCCTTGCAATCTCATAAAATGCCGGACTTTTAAGATCAAGAGCTCCACTCGCGGTACGCCGAGCCTGTGAATGTTTGCTACCTAAAAGATAAAAGGCTAGCACTTGCACTTGTGATTGGTTAAGGTTGTTAACTAACATGAGACCTGGCGCTAGGAAGAAGGATAGATGTTGACCAGAATTCTTCCCTGATCACACGAGTTAGTACGCATTTTTCGAGCCCGCCACAAATCTTCACTGCGCTGCCATTTTAGCAATAAGTAGACCGTTTTGGAATTATTCCATCACGGCAGGCGACAACTTTATTGATGGTGGGTGGAGTCAAGCCGTTCTGATACCTGGAACGCAGCTAGAAATTGTGCGGGATTCGGATTCTGCCCTTCGACCGACACACACTACGGGTGGGGATTCGCCTCGAGAGCCTCGACTGGTTGTTGAAATCAAGGTTGGTGGTCGGGGTATAACCGAAGCACAGAAATTTTGTCGCGAATACCTCGATCTCATCCCAATGTTACGAGCTGTTCTTCTGCTCCATATAAAGACCGTGTGCTGGCAATTCTGATGATTTTTTATCGCCGCGGCTTAGATGGCGGAGCGGTGGTCGTAGACGTGGTGAGTTTCGGGAGTGCTCCTGTGAGTCCTGGAATGGCAAAACGCGTGGAATGCGCTTGTCCTCTCCGGAAGTTGCCACTTGTTCCGTTTATCGATTCAGCTAGCGACCAAGAACCCATGGAAACCCGAGGATCGACCATTCATCGAGGTCCCGACTGCAGACATTTTCTACCAAGCTATCCAGGATCCTACCGACCCGAACTGCTCAAAAGAAATTCTCCGAATTAACCTTTGGGCCGTGCTTACAAGAATCAGCTATTCCTAAGTCGGGACAACACACCTTAGTGCTCTCCAGATAACGTATTCGTAATGTGAAGTATTCCGGAGATAACTCAAATTTTACTCGATTTTCTTGATGCTATTATTTTCAAACAGGTTTCCCGAAATTGAGCACCCATAAATACTTAATAGAACTGCTCCTTCAAAAATAGTTTTTTAAGCACATTCTTGTTCGATACTCACGAATAATTGACAAGCATGGAGACCGTGGCACTTGAATGGATCAGCTCTGCCGAAGTAGAGCCTCAAGATGTGGTGCAGCTCGTGCAGCGGCTCCATAATGTTCCGGAGGATGCGGTCTGTGAAATTGGTGATATATTTTCTCGAAGGTGGCGTAGCAGCCAGAAGCAACAAGAACACCTGATCCGAAATGAGATACACTTGACCTGTGAACCAAGTGTAGCAGAGTTTCTCTGCAAAAAATTCAAGTAGGTCTTGTAATAGTCGAGCATCTATCTAGGCCACCACGTACTAACTGTTTCGCTTGACCAGCAAACAGACCCAACACGTAACAGGAGGTGAAATTATTCAACTGAGATGCAAACATGTATATACAGGTGAGCTTGACTTACAGCGTTTCTCTTGTTGGATACTAATACTCAATTCGTCTTTGCAGGATCTGTACCTATAGGTAAACGCATCGGTACACCTCAAGTCATGATGCCTGCTTCCGAACGTGTAGACGATGACGAGACGGCATTTGAATCGCGATCACAAGCGGTAATGGGCTCTTTCAACGTAAATGGCATTGCGATGCCACTAACACGACTTGTCTGAACAGATACCAAGCACAACAGCGTCCGTTTTACCTATCGACAAGGTGATTGCGTTGATCGATCTATTGGGAGACCAAGTTGTGGATGCCCAGGAAGCATACGAGCTATTTTCCGATAGAGACGCGTGTACACCCCAGCGAATGACGCTGCTAGGGATCACGAAAGCTCTCTCAAAGCTATGGTGAGGTGTATGTGTGTTGTGTAATTGCACGGCTAAATGGTGGACTTATGATTATTCTCATGCTGTAGTAAAAACGAGTGGACTGCGAAACCTACTCGAGCACGGAACATTGGAGACAACACTAACGCCTCCGTTCAGAATCTTCGATTTTTGCTAGCAAGTCTCATCGCAAGCAACAATGTGGCTGTGGAGCGTGTTCCGACTGCTACGACAGTGCCATTCCTCTCGTACACGGACTTTTTAGCTACGTACGTCGCTTTTCTTGCCAACCTTCACTCTTCAAAGATGTGAGCCATCACTTCACAATGTGTAAGCACGAGAATAAATATACCGTTGATTCTAATTCAAGAAGATCTAGAGTTACCAATTTAGAGCTCTTGCGACGAAACACCCGTAGTTGGCTCATAAATTGAATTGTCGTTTATCGCTCGAAGAGACCGAATATCACCATCCATGAGTGCGCTCTCTTCGACAGCAATCACCAGCGAGATTTCTTGCGGTGGGGCTAAAAGTAAGCGAAAGGGTCGACGACACCGCACGACGACATCAAGATCTAATGCCCCTGAGCACGAGTCTGAAGAACTCCGCGAAAGGAGCCGTCGTAGTCGAGTCCGTCGTGGCGCGACAAATGGGGCAACAAATGACGTCAAGCCAAGCACGAAACGTCGATCTCAAATCGCGACTTCCGGTGTCGAAGGCGGAAGAGTTCGACCAGCGACATTGACGACTGACCGCCGGTCAGAACAGCCAAATATCTTACGAGACTCTACTATGGCAGCTAGACGAGCGCTGACTTCTTCGGCTTCTTCCATCCGACCGTCGTACCGTAAGCGTCTCGATGTTAGTCAAGGTGGAGAAACGTCTTATCCGTTTGGTTGTCATCAACACAACAGGGGCAACAACAACGATCCTGAAGATGATGGTTATGCCATGCATCATGTACCTCTTCGAAAGGGGTCCAATGGTTTCCCTCTTCCTGAGCAGGACTGGCCAACAAGTACCAGTAACAATCACGCAGCCACGAGAGTCCACTTGCCGTCTCGTGCTAGTAAGTACCGGAACTTGTCAGCTGGAGTGAACAAAAAGCCACGACTTCGTGTTCCAGTGGCAAATGAGCTCCCGATCCGTCCTCCATCGCGGCAGCGACATGCCTTCCCAACGCACCTCATAGACACGAATGCCTTTGACTCTCCTGAGACCACGGCAAGATGCAGGCGCGGTTCTGGTACGAGCTCAAGGACGTCTAGTGCCAGAAGCAGAGGGAGTCCGACAGAGTTTTTCTCCCCACCTGAAGGTATAACGGAGCGTCCACCATCGAGATATATGGTCAAAGCGAAACGAAATAGCAAACAAGGCTTGACACAGGATCCCAATGAAACTTCTCGTCGCGGAGTCGTCGACAAAATTATTTTTTCGAGTAACCAAGCGCACCATGACCCAAAGACGGACGGGTTTGCTGACGTGGATGAAAGCGTGCCACCGCCATTCAGAATTAAGGTCACCACGGATGCCAGAGAGACGACTTTGGACTCGCCAGATCCACGATCGACGACTCCTTCAGCGTTAAATTCATCGAGATTTTCACGGGATTTGCAACGCTGGCCGTTTAGCAACCAGGAACAGCTCTTGCGGATGGCAGTCAGAGGCTCAGACTGCAATCGGAGCGATCAATTCTCAGCTGAAATAGACGCCACACAAAGTCAACTGCAGTGGTTTGGAAAAGATGATCAGATCAACAATGCGCATTTATTTGAGACGGTAATCTCGCTCCCAAGTCCACGACCTGTAGAACCTGATGTTGACATCGCAATTGAGGATGATCTTGAGGATAGTGACGGACCTCAAACACATAGTCGGAGTGTAGTTGACAACCAACGACAACCTCAACAGGAGCCTCAACAGCAAGGAGAAGAGCGTTTCCCTTCGAGACGAGCAGCTGCGGCTTCTAAGATGGCTGCGCTAAAGAATGCAGTATCGGTGACGGATAACCCAGAGCTCCAGTGGATACGATCCAGCACGAACCCATTCTTTGTTGACTCTTCCTTAACTGTCGACTACGACTCGATGGACCCCGAGACAGCGATCGAGCAGACTCCGCTTTACACGTCTGAAGACCTCGTGACCCTCGCAGCGACGGAAATGACGGACTTGCGCTTAGATGACTACACTGCGCTGGGCGACGCCTCTATGCCCGTACCCTCATCATCTCCTACTCGAATGGAGTGGGATTATTCAAGATTGCTACCAGCATCTCGCTCACCTCCCCTTCGCACTTCATTGGGGAAAGATTTCCTCAGTCTCTTTGCACAACATTAATCTAGCTTGATAATTTTTAAAATACTTCACGTGGCCTGAGCTTATCACATCGAAACAATTTTTTTTGTTGGGCCTCTTTAGAAATCATGGATAGTCGGGATCAGCCAGTTTAAATTCTCTTGATTTTGACAAGAGTTTCTCCCCAAAAATCGGCTCGATCGTTTTGGAAATAATTCTACGCCGAAGAAGCTCTATAATTGTCAAAACCCAAGCATGATCATCGAATGTTGGAAGTTCCTGTATGGATACCACCGACCATCGGGGTCGGTGACACGCATCTCCTACGCCCACTTCCCAGCATTTGCTATGTAAAATCGCGCTTTAATCGAGTCCTTTCCGATCCAGTCCGAATAGCGTTTAGAAGTCGAACACGGCCATACCTTTATTGCATTGATATTCCAGCTAGCGGGGAATAACTATAAACTATACATATAACTTTTATACTTATAGATATAAACTATACATACAACTTATATACTTATATGATATACGATATAAGTCACTGATCTGTGCTCAGAGCTCTATTTTCTTTGTTTCTTTTGTTTCGAAGACCTCTCAAGTGTTTTCCGCTCTTGTCGTTGTCAGATGTCGGGGGATGACTTTGGAGTTACGTCCCGTCTTCTCGCTTGTGTTCAGTCAGGTCTATTTCAGCATTAGCCACTAAAGACGGGTCCCACATGAATAGAGGAAGAATAGAGCGATCAGTGGGCAACAAACTAGAAGCCGCATGACGTGTATCGGAAACGATGCAGCGATTTGAGGGAGTGGGGGGGGGCTCTTACGTGTGCGTGGAGGGGGGGGGTCAAAAAGAGCCGGCTACACGGTAGCTATCAGGGCTTGGCCTCCGAGTTAGAGTCTGGCGCTGATCTGGAACCAAACCAAATCTATACAATTTGGACTCCAAACTGTCGCCCAGCATCCTTTGATTTGATTACTAGCGTCGCAAATCAATGTTGGCTAAACTATTATTGTAACTAGCCGAGCGCCGCCGCTACGCAGCGATAGTTTAGATTTAGTTCTACTTGTTTTGGCCTTCCCGCCTGCTACATTTTGGCGGGATAATTATTTTTTAATACCCGCTGAACCCCTGTGCCTAATCATTTTTTTTTTATAATCTGAATCAGTATCATGCTTACCTGACTAAATATAATTATTCTAATGATTTTGAATCAAGATTCTTGATACAATCTCTTTATTATTGCTGACTAACACTGTATCTTCATCTTCCACCCAAAATTACCTGCACTGCAAGTAGCATTTATGCATACGCTACACAATATGTTTTGTTTAGCGTCGTGCTCAATATCACCGGCCATTTCTGAGCCGGTATGAAACGTTGTCCACATCGACGCAAAAGATAGTAATGACCTGTCCAGCTTGCACTACTTACCCGCTTGTACTGCTTATTTGAGCTTGTTAGTAACTAAAGATTGATCACGTCTCATACCAAACTCAATAAAAGCTTTACAATATTCAAATTGAAATATTTTTAATGCATGTAGCGTTCATTTTGTACTGATTCAGAATTAGTTATTAGACACTCGATTCTGTGCCAGTTATGATTAAAGCATTTGGATAATGTGTCGCGAGACGTCTAGCTGCTGTTGCTGTTGACTGGGGGGTAGTGTTATTTTTTTAGTTTAACGATTTCTCAGATGGTTAAACGTCATTTAGGCGCTAAGTTTATTTACGGGTCTTTATGGGGTCTACTAACCAACAATAATCTACACCTCTCGTATTTTGTTGTTGCCTTACCCACTCCATTTAAACTATGCCCTTGTCGGCAACACGTCCGCCCGTTAAGTAGTATCGGATTTTGCTGTCAAAACAACTCTTAAAAAACAATGGCTTACAGCAGTATCACAAAATGTTTTGAGTTATTTTTGCTTAATCTAAAAGTAACTATCTCTATGCAAAGTCTACAGCGTACATGCTCCCAGCCCACTACAATATTCACAGCTCATTTTAACGAAAAATATTAGTTTTTTTAAACAATGAGACAGTGGGGGTCTTCATTAAAGGCTTAAAACTACGAATCCGAAAAAAATTAGTGACATTTTCGAGGTTCTAGGGAAATTCGCCTTCACATAAGCTGATTTTGCCCTCGAACCGCTAAAAACAGCAGTAAGAGTTTAAAGATCACCCCACTTTAGTGACTGAGTTAGCGCCCTGGAGCTTAGAGGTCCCGACAAATACGACAGGCTGCGGGAAATTCTTAAAGAGCGCTCACAAGCTTCGCTTACGCAGGCCAATGAATTGCATGCCGTGGAGCTAGAGGAGAGACGTTGCCAGTACAACGAACACATGTGCTGCTACGGGAATTTCTTGGTGTATTTAAAAGAGCAGAGAAAGACTGCTGCATTAAAATAAAATCTACTTTTTTGTATTACTTTAATCCAGGAGCGACGAGCCGTCAGAGACCTTCGCCGATCAAGATTGTCATAAGATTATAGGTTCCAACGCTGCGTGCTTAAAATAAAAGTTATTTGTATATATATTATATTTCGCTACCACTACGAAATTCAAACCATTTTTTGAGATTGGCACGAAGATTATCACCAGTTGAGTCTTCTACTTCGGTTTCTGGGTCGGGAAATTTATCTTGATATTCTTTTAGTATGCGACTTCATTGTCATCAAATTCAAAAGAGTCTTTGTTGTCCAGCAACACGTTTTGAGTAATGCATAGAGCATAACAATATCAGGCACAATTTCGATATCTAATTGAATGCCTTGTAGTAGTATCCTCCTAAGGCACTTCAATTGACCAAAGGAAAACTCTACCCGATACCGGGCATGGCATAGTTGCTTGTTTAGCTTTGCACAAACACGATCCACGGTGTCAGCTAACTCGAATATCATCCCAAGCTAGTTTGTATACTGGTAACCCGAGTCACCAAGAGGTAAAAAAAACTGTTGCGATCGTCACTGCCTTTGATGTGGCAGAAATTTCAGGGAATGAAAGTGTCAAAGCCCAATTTCTGAAAACACGACTGTCGCCAACAATCAAGGTCGCAGAATCGACCCCTCCAATCCACAACTGCTTGTAATACTACACTGTACTAGCACTTGCGATTGTACTACATATCCCCATTAACACCTGGTCGACAGATTGGTATGTGTGATCCATCAATACAGCCTATTATCTGCGGAATACCGCATTGTTCTTCAAATCGAGATGCGCACGCCTCAAACGGAGGGAGCGAGACCAGCGATTGCAGCTCACAACACACAACCTTGACAGCTTCTCTCATAATTCCGGACACTGTCGATGGCCCCACCCCGAAACGGTCAGCGGTGTTTTGTAGAGTCACCCCTTGCGCACAGAGAAGCAGAAAAATTGCCGAGCGCGTATGCGGCAATACAGCGTCGGCGGTCTGTCGAACCGGAGCGAGTCGAGGACAGAAAATTTGAGCGAGAGACTCAAAACTGATAGCATCCATACGAAACAGGTCACGCATACTGCTGTTGAAAAATGTTCGGGAAGAATACAACATTTTTGCCCAATGTGAGCTTCTCTCTTTGGCAAGAATTTCCCGATCTTCAGGCTCAGCGTATGTGTCTATCGCCTCCATTTCCATATTGAACGAATTATGGAGAAGCATAATAGATTGCCCCCCTCCTACTACGACGGGTGCCATCGATTCCAGAAGCAGGAGTGTTACCAGAGCTTGTTCGTGCATGATAGCCTCGATTTGTATCCAGCGTTTTTTTTAGGAGTCGCACTTGTATTTATTTATACACGAGCCGTCACAACACATATTCGATGTTTCAGGTGTGTGCTGCTGCTGTCAACTGTGAAATAGACGTTTATACTTGAGATGAGCGGGATTTGTGTATCCCAAGACCGTGCCACACAACGTCCCAGTGGGACGAGAAGGGGTGTCAACCTTACAGGTCATCCCGATATCCCGCAACCTAGATTGCTGATTGGTCCATCCCTCTTTTGGGACGATATAAGTCTGAGCCTTAACCCCTTGAACGCGAGAGCGTGGACCGTACATGATATCAACGATTTCTTATCGTGTACGGCCCACGTTAAGGGATTTTGACTGGGATTTTGTATTGACCAATACAAACCACTAGTCAACAAGGTTTAGGGAATTTAATCTTTCCCTCCTAACAAAATCCACAGCCGGGGATGCTGATAAAGCCACTACACAATTATTTTATGGAGGGACTGTGATGTGCCAGCCTATCATATATTCAGTTTTACAGTTAGACGATCGGTATATCACTCATTTTATTCACTCACTTTCAGATTCCTAGACTTGGGCGTAAATAGCTTTCCAGGCAAGATGGCGGGAGCTAACAAAGCTTGGGTGGACATCAAGCAAGCCGGCCATGTTCTCCAGCGACTATGCGTAGCTGATACCCGGAAAGAAGAAGTTCGCGGCAAAGACTATTTCGTGGGCAAAGAAGAGCTCATGAACACCTCGGCAGCGTCGAACTAGGTAATGTTTTATAGTGTTTTGCCTTTGTAACATTACTTGCTAATTTTGATTAATCTCTCTAGCGGAGCTACGCAAAAGCGGACAAGTTGATGCCCTGTACCAAGATAAGAATCTAATGCGCCCACGAGAGCCTTCTGATGCAGCCAATACAAAGCCGAAGGAAGACCAAAATCCGTCAAAGACGGCTCTCAGTCACAAGTGCTCAAACACAAATGCAGAAGAGAGCACTGCGTGTTTAGGCGGAGGTATGATTTTATTATGCTGTATGTTTCCACGTTTAAGCTAGCTGTAATCGTGTATGTCGGGATAATGTGTACAGTAGACGAATCCGATCCTATCAGACATGCTGCAAGTCCTGTTACACCTCCACCTGCCGATCCTACTGCCGCTATACTTCGACCCGTTTCACTGCACGACACAACCGTTGCCAATGATGAGTCTAGCGCTGATGATAAAGTTTCTCAGAGCTCAACTAAGGGTAAGAATGTGTATATACACGTTTCCAACTGTCAAGATACTCACTATCGTGTATAAAATTGGTATCAAT